ATCCTTCCATTTGATCAAGAAGTGCAGTTCACCGGGTGCATCCGTCAGTCCGATAATACGATGTAGCTGTTTCTCGTCACGCTTCTCCGATGGAGCTGTTTGTGGCTCCTTCTTCTCCACATAAAAGAAAAAATACCGTACTCACTGCTCTTTCAGTATGTTGGTGAAACTTCATTCCTCATGAAAAATCAGAAAGTGGTTGTACTCTAAGGATACAATCGATCACCTGTTGTTCCACCAGCTACGGAAGGAAGAAACATCTGTAACAAGTTATAGACCCTACCTTGTTCCGCTTCCTCTCGAATTCCGCGATCAATTCGTGACAAGCTACATTCTCCTCAGGTTCCCAGGTACTTTCTTCAAGTGGAAAACCCTGGAACCAAACATTTGTTTAGATAAAATCAAAACTTCTCTATGAGAGCTCCGTTCACCACACGTACCTGCCACTTTAACAAATACTCGATTTTTCCGTCTTTAGCTTTGCGTTTGTTTATGACAGCTTCCACAACGTAAACGTCCTAAAATTGAAAAATTCTTGATTAGCACGACGAATTACTTAGAACTGGTAAGATCTAAATGGAACCCAGTTTACAGTTAAGGAGAGCGTAGCAGGTTTCCCCTTCAGTTCATTGGCCATTGGGGTGTTTTCTCCGCACACCGAGACCATTCGAGCCTGCTTTTGATATGAGTATGGAAGATTTTTCAATTGTTCTATGAGTTCCCTAGTCTGGGGCGCCGCAGAACCTTTTTTAAAGCACCATTTTAGGAAAGTTTCGAACTTATGAGTTATGTAAACAAATCTATTTGGCACAATGTGCCATTTTCGTTGATGTGCAGTAATTTAGTAACTCAGTATAACTAGTAACTTAGTAACTAACAGTCGAACGATTCTGGAGAAAATAGCTACTTTACTGGCCCTATTTTTTTCAGTCCCCGCGATGAAACTCTCTCGGGAAACTTGCACAGTGAAACATTTTCCAATGCCGTAATGCAAAGTTCAATAGGGCCGCAAAATGTGACGAGTTTCATTGTCTAGCCAGTACTTCAAATTCTGAAATATGACACGGCATTCAGAACTGAAAAAGGTTAAAGGAGACATTGTTCATTTCATCCGAAGCAGCTCGAATGGGTCAACCCAACTCCTTGGGGAAAAGATTCTCATATTCCGCGCTTTACCTACATTTCACATTACAAGCTTCACTTCTATCCTACCTCAAAGTTCACAAGGCTTACCACCCCAGATACTGAATCAGCTCCAAATATTTTCAAAAGAAAAATTGCTAAAATACACTTACATCGCCAGAATCCTCATCTTCCTCCTTCCTCTTATCTCTTCCCATACTTGCAAGGGCAGATTTGCTACTTGTTTACTGTAAATCAAAGTGCAGGTGATAACGAAAAAGTTTGACAAATAATAGAGGTTTAACCACTTCCAAACTTTGACACTCACAACAGCAACCAGGAGCTTCGCAGGACTTACATTACTGCGGCAGAGTATTACAAGAATGTTCAACAAGTCACGAGCAAAAGTTAAAAACACCAGAACCACACAACAATGAAAACGCAACCATACAACAAAGGAACAGAAGCATTACAGACCGCACGCACCCGTTCAAAAAAACGACAGCTGCTCATCTTAGCTGTCGCTTTACATGTTTTATCTGTAGTTGCGTATCAAACAATCGAGTACTGTAGCTCGAATACGCGCTGCCGTCGCTGCGGTTTCCAGACCACGCCCTATTATCGAGTGGTGTTTTGCAGCTGCAAATTTTCACTGCGCTATTGGTAGTTTACTATAATTTATTGTGAATCGATAACTCTTAGAATCCGTTGCTGGCATGTCGAATTCTTGCCATTTCTTCTTTATCACTGCCACTGCTGAACCTTTGGAGTTGGATTGGTTTTGATGTTTCTGTTTTCATTCCTAGACTGTTTACTCATAATCAGAATTACTTTGCGTAAGTATTAGCTAGCTGTATACGCCGTGTAGCTGTATACGCCGGGAGTTTTGAAATGCATTTGGGAGCTTGCAGCCGTCTGAAACCTCAGATTCGGCCCTCCACAGCGATCGTTGGTCCGATTACACTTGTCATCGCTCGTAATTACTCTTACACGGGTTGATCACAGTCGCGTTGAGTAGGGAGGAGAGTTTCCGAATTTCTTCATTCTGCCTGTTATTGTAGTTCAATAAGCGTCTTTTGGCTTTTTGAAAGCTTTGCAGCTACCCTAAAAGCGAGGGCGGGGGGGTAGTTTCGTTTAGACTACGATTTTCGGGGCTAGCCTAATTAGAGGCCACCAGGCCGCGGCAACTATAGCACTCTGCTCTCTCTCACTCTCTTTGAGATAATGATAGTTCCTTCCCTGTTGCGTTGGGTAGTTTTCTGAACATGTCCCCCTCACATTTACTCCTTCCGTACTACCCTCCCCCACGACCTGCTAGCATACTCTTACTAACTTTTCAACTTTTCCCGCAATGAGATCATTTGTCAGGATTGGTAGTTTAGCTGCGTAACTGATTAAGGGGAGGGGGAAGCTACAGTCAATATTCCGATGTGGTGGCGCACATCATTTGATCTTGGCCGCGGTTACGCTTTTGGTGGTGGGTACTGTCGTTTTGGAACACTTATTGTCGTGTATGGGAAGAGGCGACGGAACAATGGAAATAAGGAAGGAAGCTTTGTGGTTGACAAGCTCCCTGAAGACGGTCCAAAAGAAGGCGTGGATGACAGTTGTTCGAATGGAAAATATTCACCCAAATCGCATGTAATACATTGTTCGAAAAACACGCTGCCACGCCCTCCCTATCTCCAGATCTCGGATTATTTATAGGCGCGTAAGGTGAGAAGAATTCAGCGATCAGAAAAGTTTCCCGGACTGCTGTATTACGACACCACCCCCCCCCCACCCTCTCAGCGACCAAATACGACCCGCTCAGGGTCCTCAACGTGCGACCAGGCCACATCATAGTTGGGGAATCTCCAATAGGGGGTCGTATTTGGCCGCCAAGAGAGGGGGGTCGTAATTGGGGCGGGAAAAATTTGTTTTGATAGTCGATTTTTCTCGCTTCATGGACGTGTGTAAAGGGGGGGGTCGGTACTTGCGTCATTTTTGGAGAGGGGGTCGTATTTTAGGCTTTGCGTTGTAGTTTGGTATAGCCACGTAGCGATTGGTGGTTGACTTTCGGTGATTTTCCTTGTTTTCATGCGTATTCATACGCCCGGCCCCCTCACGGTCTCGATTCGATGAGGAGGAACAGTAGGGCCGGAGGTCGGGGGGGGGGGGACGTTGTCGCTACAACCCCGAAAAAAAGAGAGAGCGACGTACAGACTCACTAAAATCCAACCGATTGATGTGCTCTGCGTGCAAAACGTGCCCGTATTTTCCTTTGAAGACTGCCATGGCCTCTGCCTCTCCAACTACGTATTCTTGCAAGATTTTTATCCCCTGTGGAGGGTACAAAGAAATTGGTATTTGCCGAATAGTGGGGACTCTCACTCCGTCAATCTGCGGCACAAGGAAAAAAAAAAATGACGTTGATTCGAATTTTTGTCAACAACTTTTGAGATGGGGGCTCTTTGTTGGTGGCAGTCTGGACCAGAGGCTTCCTCTTGAGGCTCAAACGCGGCTAAAGTTTATGCTCTCCTCTTCTCAGGAAGAGGGGCGTTTGACAATTTAGGAAGGGCAACGTAAACCTTGAGCGAGGCTCCGATCACTGACGAAGGTGACCAGTCGAAAGGTCATGGCATCAGTGAAAAGCCCCACCTAATTATCTCGCCGGCAGGAGAGAAAATCATCAAACATGGTATTTACATTGCTTCATACCAGCCTTTTCCTGGGAAATTTTGGGAGGAACGTGAAAAAACTTTTACATTTAATACCATTTCGGCTTAATATGCAAAGAAAATTGCATCCGAAATTAACGAGTCACTTCCAACACGCATAACTTCAAAAATACTTTCTTCGCTGTCGTTATATAGGGCGCCCTATGTCAGTGGGGAACATCGTTCTGCTTTTCAACCTAGAAACCCAATTTTTGTTGTATCTGTGACTGCCTCACCGCCTATGTACCATTAGGTTTCAAATTACAAATCTACGTTCTGCTAAAAACCGTCCACATAGGTGAGGAATTATGTCGCGAACGCCAAAAATAATACTGTCGCTCACGTAATTCATTCGAGGGGGGCGGGGGAGGAGGGCGTTTTCAACAGCGTCAATGTTGTCCTTTTCGCTTTCTCCAAGGCTTTAGGACTGGGAGACATGGCAGGCACAGATTACCGGAGTCTCAGGCGCTATTCCGCGTAGAAGACGTAGTCGCTCGGCCTCTTTCCCCAATTGCGCTCTCGCATAAACTATTCCTTATCGAAACTCCCACTCCCTTCTTCCCTTCTTCTTCTAACCCTCGTGATCAAATATTACGGCTAGTGGGTATTCAGTTATGAAGTAGGGCCGATAAGTGACTGCGCAGTGGGGAAAAAAATCAGAAACTTAGAATACCATAAAAAAATTCCTTCTTGACAGCCATACAGCCTCCTTTTACGAGTTCTTGGACTTGCTGGCAACTCGACTTGCCCGCCTCGGTGCAACCCTGGCTCCCAAAATCGTTTGTTCGCATCTTCCAGTAGTAAATGCCGTTTACCACCAGAAATAAAAACAAAAACACTGGAACAGAAAATAGCTTTCGAGAATTCTGAGCATGAAACTATGAAAGCAATGCACGCCGAGCTCTTTTTTTTCTTTTTTCCTTTCTTTCGTGCCACCAACTTGATTGCCCATCACGTGCTAATTTAAGCAGTTGCCTTAAGCTTACTTGCCGTGCAGAGCAGACTGATATTTGCTTGAATTGCCTTTCAAGAACGGTTCCCAGGTTTAAAGCCACCAGCAACTCGTAATCTAGCAAAAGAATCGACGAGCTGGGATCCTCGTCAACGATCATGGGGAATTGTCCTGCGATGCTCCAGGCAACACGATACACGCACGTAATTCCGCGGTTCCACGTGTAGCTTCTTGCAGAGTGAAAAGAACAGAGGGTGCAATAGTCAGGCTTCTTTATCTCGCCGTTTCGAGTGATGAAAGTGGTACATTCTCTACGTGCGCGCAGCCGAATGCCGAATTGGCGGAGGGTTTTCACGGTCCCTTTGTCGCGGGAACTATCTTCAAAGCAGACATCTTACAGTAGTCAGTGGTCTACCCATTGAGTTACACTTACTCACTTTCCAGTATCTCGTGCGGCTCCACTGTTGAAAAACCCTCAATGCATGGAGTTGAACTACTGAGGCTGCTTTCATACCGTGCGACGTAGTCGTCAACGTCACGTAACGACGTTTTCGGACGATTTTCGACGGCATTACATTCGCCGAAGATTATATATGTATCGAATCCGACGTAACGGACGTAACCGACGTTTTCGACGTCAGTCGATACGTATCTAATCTTCTGTCGTCGGTTACGTCGATTACGTCGACAGGTGGATCGATACGTATCTAGTCTCTAGTCGTCGAAAAACGTCGGTTACGTCACTTACGTCGGTTACGTCGGATCGATACGTATATAATCCTCGCGAACTAGTCGAAAACGTCGGTTACGTCGACGTTGACGACGCCGTCCGCACGGTATGAACGCAGCCTGAGAGCGCAATCACACTTCGTGATTCGTACACTCGGGCGATCTGATGGCGCGTCCTGCCGTTCGTGTAATCGCGAACTATGAACACGCTCTGGTTTCGTGTAGTATGAGCGAATAGGAGAATGGCACACGGGCCCTCTAGCTTGGGGTAGCAACTAGATATATTTATCCATTTACTCACTATACTACTTGCATAACTATGTTTGGTTTTTCCGAAAAAAAGTTATTGTTTATTTGTAAAGTTTGGCTATATTTCTGTAGTTTTTCGTAGATATCTGAACTCATTTGAAATTAATGATCATTTGCTCAACTATGTTTCTTCTTTTTGATCTCTTTCCACCTCCTCTTCCTCTTCTTTTTTAAACTGTATCATCTGCTAAATTTTTTTTAATCGGAACGATGCGGCACACCGTCAGCGTATTTCGAGACAAAGAGAATTTTCAGTAATGCCACCTAAAAAGAAATCTCGTGGAGCGACTCCTACTGCTCGTGGAGAGGGACGAACTACACGTTCCTCAGCCAGAAAGGTATTCAACAGTTGTATAAGATCTTTTCCTTCGTAAATTTTTTTGAGAATTTGTGAAGGTGCGGTAAAACTTTTCATAAGGCTGAGTCATTCAGGCTAAATCGGACCATACTGAATCGGAGGGGTCAGCCTCTTCTGATGATGAGAAGCCCTTCGATAAAGGCCACGTGATGAGTGTGATGAGATACGACTTCGAAGATCTCGTGACAAGTAAGTATTTGTATTCCGTTTGAGTAAATTTATTCAGAATGAATGCCCTTTCAACCTTCTAATGGCATTTATTCGCTTCCGCTATGAAGGGCGTACGTTATCATTCATTGACGTTACGCTCTTTTGATACATCTTTCCAATTTTTTTTCTTCATCGGACTTTTTTTCCTGTATTAGCCAGCACCGCTCTTCGGTATTACTGACTCCCTCCTTCTCCCGACTAAATGCCTGATCGGACGAGCGTTAACTTCTCAAGTCTGCACGCAGCGTTCGAGCTAGCGCTGTTTGGAGTGAGTTACAGGGCTTCTGTGAACCGGATGTTCTTTCATTACAAGGGTATAGAGTTATTCTGTCATCGCATTTTCTGGCCGTCGAAGGAGGGGGTATGAATAAGGCAGAAGGAACAGAGATAGAAAGGAGAAAGAAGACGAAAAGAGGAAAAAGCAAAGAGGATGAGGTTGTGCGGTTTACGGATATCCTAAAAGTTTCGGGATGTCCCTATGTCTTGTCCAGCCTCACGGGACATTTGGAGGGACACGGTCTTCATCAATCGTAAAAGGGTCCGCCTCTACACGGACTCTGAAGAACTGCTCGCGAGCTGAACTGAATGAGGGCACTTGAATACAAATGACAGACCTTTGCGGTGGCCTGATTTACGAAGGTCCATGTCACAACTCATGATTTGTGATGTCAGATGTACTTCGAAGTAATCTCATTTTATAGCTTCCAGTTTTCGCTTTAAACTACATGCACAGTGTACTCTATTTATACAGTTCTAGACCTTTTTCTCAATAAGAACGGGCGGTTCTGGCATTTGAAGTCCAGTGCTTGAAGGTGCGAGGAAATACCTGTAAGCCAAAAGATCCTGCTTAAGCCTAGTTAAAAGGGCCAAAGGGCCAACTGAACCGAATTCTTCGTGCAGAAGGTTATCGTATTTCCAAGAGCCTTGGGTGCTCTGCTCCACTTCATTGGAGTAGCGCCAGGTCCTACAATATTAAACATTGCCCTTGTTTTATTAGAATTCATGAAAAGTTGAAGATGAAGGTATATTTTAATTTAGATGATCGCTTCGAGCACCCCCACCTCATCTCCAAGATTGATCCGAAGGGTAAGTTGTAGTTTCAATGTGAAGCGTCTCTCCTTTTCTGTCCTATAAGTTCTTTTTTTCCTTCCAGAGTTTAACCTTGAATACTACGAGAAGTCTCGTCTTGCGACACCGCTTCTTTTTGAATGTGATGCACACGAGCTTGGGATGAAGTAGGTCCTTTGGAACTTTTATTTTCGGCTTTATGCAGTCTCACAGTTTTGCATCTCTGCTGTTTACCTTTTTGAGTGTAATAGGTACCATTTGCTTTTTCACAGTTCTGCTACTACTGGATTTGATTTTTTACCATCTTGAACATTTTTGAGTCCATTGTATTCTTTGCCCATTTCCTTTCGTATGATAATTCTTAAGGGTACCGAACGCAGATGAGTTCTCGGTTGACGATGTATTGAGGCTCGTCGGAGGAAATCGAATGATAGAAGTAGTCGAAGTTAGCGGACAAACAAGCGTGAAGATGTGCTTACAGGATTTTGTTGACTATTACAAGTAAGTATCAAACTTGGCGAAACTGTTAAGCTTAACACCCACCCAACAGTATTCCTCATTTGTTCCCGAAGCAAAACTTCATGTTTTATTTCACTTTTCTCGTGAATCTAATGAATTTGATCAGTGGGGCCATCGTTCTTATTTTGCCATTTTCGAGAACAATTGAAGACGGGAGAGTGTCACAAAAATTTATTTATTTACTCTAATTCGCTCATGTTGCTTCCATTATAATAGTTTTTATTGTCACTGAAAGTGCTTGCTTCTTGATTACAGCTTACATGTTTAGAACTCCCAGGGAACAGCGAGAGACATTGTACAATGTGTTATCCTTGGAATTCTCCAACACAGAGATGGAGGTGAGACCAAAAGAAGCCTAATTCAATTTTACACGATCCTCTAACTTGCAGCGTGACGGGGGAAGGGGAGGGAGAGGTGCTCGACTTTTCGCGGCGCCAACCCATTTTCTATAACTTGATGTCGCTCTCCCCCTCCATCACTATTGGTGGTGAACGGCCTGGCATCGCGCCAAACACAGCCCCCTGACACTCCCCAGCATACGAGCTTAGGGATTCCTTGAAAAGCTTATCCACGAGTTCACGTCCCTCGCACCTTTCAGTGCTATTCTTCAGTCGTCTCGGCTTAAACCTTTCGTGGCAAGATCGAAGCAAAAGGTGCAGCACTAGCGCAGCTCTCAGGAGCTTTTTACGCGCAGGCTTCCATTCAAGCCGATGATTCGAATCCTATCACATTTATTTCAGGATCTTATACAGTCGCCAACACTTGTTCGTCAAATTGACTGGGTTGATAATCATTGGCCGGACGCTCTACGTCAGCGATATATCACGTTTAACAAGAAAGGACATTACACCCCTCATCATACGTACCCGAAAGTGCAAAAGTGGGTGGTTGCACGAATAGTTCTCCTTTTTTTATTCATTTGTGTAGAATTCCTCTAAATAAGGAATCATTTGTGATCTCTTTGCTACCACTACTATCAGGTTTTTTCATGCTGATCTTTCCGTTGCACTACTGTTTGATGAGTGTTGAACGATGCTACACGGACTTTCATGTCGATTTTGGTGGCACTTCTGTGTGGTATCACGTGCTTAAAGGGCAAAAGGTATCCTTTTAGAAGCTTTTGTACGCCAATTTTTTTTGAATGTGCACTGAAATAGAAAATCAATTTTTTTTTGTTGAAATTTCGCCTCTGGGGCTAGTGCCCTAATCACGAAAGGGTCATCCGTTTTGGTCGTCGGCGCCGAGCACATATTTGGCACCATCATCTTTTTTACCAAAGACAGTACAAATTTGTATACTAGGGTTGCCGGCTTTATTTGGCGCCAGGATGACGACGGCGCGCCACTTCCTACCAAATTCTTTTTTCGCTGCCCTTTCGCTGGTTAACTGGGTACCTGATCACGAATGTGACATCTGCCTTCGGTGTCGGTGCCATATGGTACCAAATGACGCTCGGAGAAGGGAATCAGTCCTTCTCCTCACAGTAGACTTTGCAGAGCGCTACAGCTTGAGCGAAATGACCCGTCGTGGCATGCTCCTAATTGACCTCAGATGCAAGATAGTAACGAATTTGCTAGGGAAAGTCGTAGACGTAGCGTTCAGTGGGCGCCAGCGCGATTCTGCTGCCCAACGGCACCTGTGACATAAACGGATGTTATATTCGTGGCCAGTACATCAAAAAAGAGGTGATGACGCCGTTTTGATGTCCAAGGCGTTGACGCCCGAAGCGGATGCCATTTCGTGATCGCAGCGCAGAGTAACCCTACAGTCACAATTTCAGTTAAAAGCTGGAGTTTTGTTGTAGTGACAGTTGGGCAGTGCCCTATAACAGTGATAAAATGTTTTCAAATTCAACTTAGTGGAGAAATTTGAAATATCCCAAGTTTCGTTTATTTTTTCCGTTTTCTAAGCTTGTCGGTTTAGATATTCTGGTTGGTTGAGCCAAGTCTGACAAATATCCGCCTGTATGAGGAATTTGTGAAAAATCCCGAGCAAACGGGATTTTTCGGTCACGTTGTCGATGAGTGCGCTAGAGTGGTACTGAACCCTGGAACGACGGCGATTATTCCATCAGGTAAAGACTGACATTTTATCTGTTTCTGAGCATTTGTTCCTTAAAAAAAATAAGGTCGTTGTGCCTCTTCAGGATGGATCCATGCTGTATACACGCCATCTGACAGTCTCGTTTTTGGAGGCAATTTTCTTCATTCACTTCGTGCTGAAATGCAAATTCAAGTATACCTCAGCGAAAATCGTATCAATGTCAGTCTTTATTTCTTGAAATTTTACTTTCTGTTTTTGCTTTATACTGATATTTCTCTTTTTCGTTTTACATCCCTGTTATACTTGTACAACGATGTAGAGTAATTTTCTCCAACACTTTTCTTTTTTTCTGGTGAGCAAAACTGCCACTACTTACTCTCAGCTGCCCCACCTTTTCGGTCGAGATTTCTTTCGAAAATCTCAGTTGGGATACTCCAGCACGGATATGTCATCCATTTGACGAGAGAATGCATGGCCCTTGTGCCAAATGCGGAATTACTTATCAGCTACTGTTTCATAATTGAACAGCAACTATCCATGACACTTTTATCGCGGGAGCTGTCTTTAATCTGGTATAATTAAGGGAGCCAGCGTGTTTGTGGCCACGTTCAGCCTGTCAGCGATAAGTAATTCCCCAGAGAAGAAAAAAAAGCAAGAAGAGCCCTCAAGGACACCATAAACAAAATCGCG